TTGCACCTGACATGTGGAGACTTTATAAGGAAAAGGGCTAACGATTTTGAAACACATGCTTGCTTGCCTGCTTGCTCAGAGCGGCAAGGCAGAGGGGGAGGAAAGCACTGCCGTGCCCTTGGGTTCCTTCTCTGGGTGGATGGTTATCCGCTTTTGATCCAAGTGACACGGTAGATTGCACTTTTTCCTCTTCCTTATTCATAGGGGAGGAGCCCTGGTGCTGGAGTGGTTACATTTGAGCTTCTCACTATAAGGCCAGCAGTTCAAAACCACCAGCCACTCCCTGGGAGAAAGACAGGTCTCTCTACTCCCTGACAGAGTGACAGTCACAGGAGCTCGAAGAAGCAGTTCTCCCTTGTGCTCTAGGGCTGCTGTGTGTCCACGTCCACTCCGGGGCAGTGAGTTTGGTTTGGTTTTTTGGCATTCAGGAGGAACTGCCCTGAGCTCCTCACTGATCAGCACGTTCACATCCCTTCCATGGTCCGGAGGTTTCAGTTAACCTCCAGCCTTTTTCCTAGGACCCAGGTGCTGGGTTCATTTGGTTAATTGCCCACCGAGCCCTATACAGACAGACCAGACCGCCAGGCCTATTCAGCAGGAGGTTCTGGCCAGGTTTGGACCACTCTCCTCTCACCGTGTAGCCATGTCCTTAACTGGTGGTACCACCTAGGGACTCCAACCCAAGAACTCAAATCTTTATGAAAGCAGACAGACTCATTTTACTCCTAAAGAGTGGTGGGTTGGTTGGTAGGCTTGAACCACGGACCTTGTGGTTAACAGCCTAATAAAGCCACCCAATAAATATTGGTTGAATAAATGGATGGGAAAAATATGCTGCATTCTCATGCTGTTGTCGCATCCATGACAAGCATACTTTTTGATTATTAGATATTTACTACCCTTTGCCGTTAGAAAATGGGGGCTGCGTTGCCCATCTTCTAAGGGCTGTGTCATGGTCACAGGTCGTCAAATGGAGGACATTTTTCACCCCCAGGGGATATTTCATAATCTCTGGAGACATTTTTGGTTCCACACAATTGCCTCCTCCCTAAAGGCTTTCGGGAAGAGCTCCCAGTGGGCTTGAACCATAGACTTTGTAGTTCCCAGTCCAGTGCTTACCCAACAGAGCCACCAGGGGTCCTTATGCAATTGAGTGTGTAGTAATTGGCAAGTTAGCTAGTGTGTGATGTGGTTTTCTGTACAGATTGAGCTCATCTCATTGGAGATCATTAATAACAGCCATAACAAAGAATAATCATGTATTGGTGTTACATACTTGATATGTTCAGACACATTATAAACTTTTCTCAGACATACCAGACTATTCAGGAAAACATAATCTTTCCATCCCACTTTGCCATTAATATTTTGAAGGACCCTTCCCTCTATCACTGTATTTAATCCTCACAATGGTGCTTTGAGAAAGTAGAGGACTTGGAGTTAACAGGAACCATCTTCAGTTCTCAGATAATGAGCAACGAAGACGGAGAAAGGTGAAGTCATTGACCCAAGATCCAGCAATTACTGAGTGTCAGAGGTGGGCTGAAAACTGGGGCTTGTGCTCTCTGCCAGCATGATAGGTACACTCTGACCTTGGTATTCAGTAGGAACTGCTGCTGAACACGGAGAGGAAAACCATGCCTCCCCGAATTAACAATCACTTAGGCCTGGGTATTTGTAATTTTACAGATGCACTCCTTTGAACACAGGTATTCATAAGCGGACGTGTGTAGGCTGCTGTTGATCCAAGAATCAGAACAAATCTACTGGACTGAGCTATTTGGTGGGATTCCTAAGAAGCACAAAGCTAGCCGGGAAAGCTTGTTTTCATTCAAAATTGCACTTGTCATAGCCGATCAACATGTTTCTATCTAGATGCTCCCCCTCCCCCCAATTAAGGTGCATGAACAGTGACAGTTGGCTCTCTGTAATCTTATTAGGGTTTCCTTCAGAACCACATTCTCTTATATAATTAAAAAAGAACCACTCTTGAGTATTAAACACGCCTGCAAGAGAGCAAGGCCTGGGGCAGTGGGATGGCTGACGGAGCTTTTTTATCCACTGGTTGAGGACGAGGATCAGGCAACTGGAAAATCTGCAAGTCAGTTGTCTAATTCTGCCCATCCCGAGAACGGTGTTAACTGTTAACACTCAGCTCTGACTGCCAGATGGACTTTTAAGTACCTCCCCGTGTCTTCAAGTAATGACTTACTGTATTCTAGACTCGAAAGAGAACCCTGGTGGGGCAGTGGCTAAAGCACTCGGCTAGGTGGCTTGCTGCACAGTTATTAAGCACCTGATTTTTTTAACATAAGAACTTTGAAAATCTGGTGCCGCCATTTTCCTCATTTAGGGAAATTCTGCATACTGCCTTGTGCCATCATCACACTGTGTAAATTCCTCTGGAATGCTCAAAAAAATGTATTTGTCTCAATTCTTTAGTTTCTGCTCCTATCCCTTCTAAAGTATCTGCATTTTGTCCTTAAAAAGAGAAAATTCAAAATCATTGTACCTAGTTGATTCCCATGTGTGTTGCACAGCTGAATGATGCTCACAGGTGGAATCCTCAAAGAAGCATCACCACCCCTTTCTTCTGAGGCATTGCTAATAATTTAAACAGCCAACCTTCAGTTAGGAGTCAAGCACACATGTGTGTGCCTCCCAAGGACCTTTTTTACATAAGTGCTGTTACAAATATTATTGTAAAACCTCGATGTATTTAGTTATCAAAACTCATTAAATTATACACTCAAATGTGTACATTGTACTGTATGGAAATCATACTTAATAAGGTTGATTTTTAAAAGAAAGAAAATAAATAAAAAATTAAGAACAACAAGAAAAATACACATCTATTTTTTCTTTTTAACTCAAGTCGATACCAACTCAGACTAGCCTTGTCAGTCAGAATAGAGCTGCCCCTTTGGGGTGTTGAAGGATGTAAATCTTTAGGGGACCAGAAAAATTCATCTTTCTCTCATGGAGCAGCTGGTGGAGGCTACCTGGTGAACTTGAGGTTAGTTGCCCCACTCATTGCATACCACCCATCAGGATGCTTTGTAAAACGAGCACTTTAGGCCCCTCTAATTAAAGCAGATTCCTTAGGCTCCTAAGCCTAAGGGTCCAGTGAGGCCGCATGGCATATGTCGTCCTTGTGCTACTCCAGTAAGTAAGATGTCTTCTATCTACAGGTTGCCCTTTAAGATTACATCTTAAGTCCCAAAGATGCTGGTCTGTTGACATGTACTTACACCTTTACTCTTTTCGAAAGAGTCACATGGCATCCCGGGTACGTATTTTACATTGATTAAATGACAGCCGTTGAAAGATGAAGTTGTGCTCCCGAGCATCCGGATCTGTTTCTAACAAATTCTCAGGCCAGGCTGCTGCTGCTGCTGCTGGGTCAGGAACTGCACTTGAGCAGCACAGGATAGGGGCCATTGAGATGATTTGGAAGCAGAACTCGGGATCATGTTCACGTCTTTAGCATGGTACTCTTTTCCTGCACATCATCTAATTGCATTAAAAACTCTTCTCTGAACACTGAGGGAGATTTCTTCTGGCAGGGTTGGACCATTACAGTGACAAAACACATATTTGGAAGTGTTTGGTTTTTTTTAATTAAAGTTGCATCATAAAGAATCTTAAAAAAGATTCTTTATAAAGAATCACACCATCTGAAAGGTTTTTGGTTTTTTTAGGTTACTAAACAATAAAAATGAATTCTACCATTTCTTATTGCTAATGGCATTTTTTAAGATGGAATATAGTCTTCTAAATTATAGAACAAATTCCCAATGTCATTGATGCTTAAATATCATTTACAGTTGTTTTTCTTTTAATCATGTTTCTAAAGATAGCTAAGGGGAAATTTTGTTCAAATCGTTCCTGTGTATCCTTAGAAATAAATTGTTTCAATTTCTGTGTACTGGTGAGAATTAAAGACTCACAGCTTGCCATGTCCTGTCATGCCAGCTTATTTTGTAAGGAAATCAAATCTGGCACCTTTCAATTAGCTCCTTTACGTCTCTAATATAAAAACAGATGGAAAAAGTTCTGGAGCAAGGAGGATGATTATGATCTCTGGACTGCCTTTACTTCCCCAACTGTGCCTTCTGTCAGTTCATTTACTTAAAGTCCTTCATTAGAGCAAGAAAACACTTGCTGGTGAAGGGTAGTGGTGTTGAACTGTAATGTGTATTCCCCGTCATGGGCTTGGCAACTCTTAAAGGAACACAGTGGTATATCTTGATCTGACTGGAACTCCACAAAGAGGGGCCCCATGTACATGGGCCCTAGGCTGGTGAGGGTAACTTGCTAATATTATATTTTGGAGGAAGATGAGCATAGTATTAATATAGATCTGGACCAGAGACAGGTCAAAAGGGCGCATCTTCTAAATGGCTCTGTCAATCCCTGTCTTGCATTTATTTTAAGTATTAGCATTTCCATACTTTTACATTTTTATGAGTTGTTCAGTTTCCATCTTGAAAGCCGACCAAGAGAATGTAAAGGTGTGCACATTTGATTCCCTAGATGTTGGACACGCAAATGGATCCTGCCTATATGTTTGTGGATCGTCTGGAGGTTACTGTTTGGTTATCTTTTGAAGATCCTCTCTCAGTCACCCCCATTAAGGCATTGCCGACTCACAGTGACTCTATAGGACTGGGTAGAAAGGCCCTTATGAGTTTCCAAGCCTGTAACTCTATACATTTATAGAAAGCACCATCTTCTTCTCACAGAGCACCTGGTGGTTCGAACTGCTGAATTAGCAGCCCACCACATTACCAATAAGCCGCCAGATCTTTCCTCATCCGTTTCTCCAGTACCTTGTGAAGTACGCCATTGAGATTTAGAGTATCATTGAATGCCAGTCTCTGATCAGTCCAAACGTCGTCCATGAGTCCAAAGTGTTCACAGCTCTTGAAAACAGCAGTCATGTCGGGACAGCTTCCATCGCTCCGTCAACTGATTCTTTTCTCTCTTCTTTCTTACAGCAGTTCACAGATTGAATTTAATCAAGAAGTTCACAGACCGATTGAACCTGGCCTGCACGGCGACAGAAGAAGGGAGTGCTGCCTGCCCACTCGGCTCCTCTTGACCGCTGAGCGCGGAGCATCAGCCGTGGCCTGCGTGGGAAACCCTCTCCAGTGGCTCGTTTCGCACATGGAGGACAGCGGCACCGAGGACAGCACAGGCTGACAGGACCGGGCAAGGTCGGCTGGAAGATTACTTTCCCCTAAGCCTTCGGGACTTTCCTTCCAGCCGGAGCTGTGGACTTACACAGAACCCACCCGTTGGTTTGGGTTTTGCTATCTGGGTTCTTCATTTGGTCATTTTCTTTTCTCGTTTTTTCTTTTCCTCATCACATTATTTTTTATTTCCTTCCCTCAGACATGGGCCAACAGACCATCAAGTGGCCCAGCCCTGGGGCTTTTTTCCTGAAATCTTGGCTTCTTGTTGCCCTGGGCCTGTTGGCACAGGTGCCAACCCCCCTGGCGTGCCCCAGCGTGTGCCGCTGTGACCGGAACTTTGTCTACTGTAATGAGCGCAGCTTGACCTCAGTGCCTCTTGGGATCCCGGAGGGCGTAACCGTACTCTACCTCCACAACAACCAAATCAATAATGCTGGCTTTCCTGCGGAACTGCACAGCATACAGTCGGTCCACACCGTCTACCTTTACGGCAACCAACTGGATGAGTTCCCCATGAACCTGCCCAAGAACGTGCGAGTTCTCCATCTGCAGGAAAACAACATCCAGACCATTTCCCGGGCCGCGCTCGCCCAGCTCTTGAAGCTGGAGGAGCTGCACTTGGATGACAACTCGATATCCACGGTGGGGGTGGAGGACGGGGCCTTTCGGGAGGCGATCAGCCTCAAGTTGTTGTTTTTGTCCAAGAATCACCTGAGCAGTGTGCCCGTGGGCCTGCCCGTGGACCTGCAAGAGCTGAGAGTGGATGAAAATCGAATCGCCGTCATCTCAGACATGGCCTTCCAGAACCTGACGAGTCTGGAGCGTCTGATTGTGGACGGGAATCTCCTGACCAACAAGGGCATTGCCGAAGGCACCTTCAGCCATCTCACCAAACTCAAGGAGTTTTCCATCGTCCGGAATTCGCTTTCTCATCCCCCTCCCGATCTGCCAGGTACACATCTGATCAGGCTCTATCTGCAGGACAACCAGATAAACCACATCCCCTTGACGGCCTTCTCGAATCTCCGCAAGTTGGAACGGCTGGACATCTCCAACAACCAACTGCGAGTGTTGACTCAAGGGGTCTTTGACAACCTCTCCAACCTGAAGCAGCTCACGGCTCGGAATAACCCTTGGTTCTGTGACTGCAGTATTAAGTGGGTCACGGAGTGGCTCAAGTACATCCCTTCCTCTCTCAATGTGCGGGGTTTTATGTGCCAAGGGCCTGAGCAAGTCCGGGGGATGGCCGTCAGGGAGCTGAATATGAATCTGTTGTCGTGCCCCACCACCACCCCGGGCCTGGCTCTCTTCACCCCCGCCCCCAGTATGGCCTTGCCAACCACCGAGCTTTCCACACTCCCTGTTCCAACCCCGAGCCGAAGCAATATGCCTCTAACTCCGACCACGTCCAAGCTCCCCACCATACCCGACTGGGATGGCCGAGAGAGGGTGACCCCGCCCATTTCTGAACGTCTTCAGCTCTCCATCCTTTTTGTGAATGACACCTCCATTCAGGTCAGCTGGCTTTCTCTCTTTACTGTGATGGCGTACAAGCTCACATGGGTGAAAATGGGCCACAGTTTAGTGGGCGGCATTGTTCAGGAGCGCATCGTCAGTGGTGAGAAGCAACACCTGAGTTTGGTGAATTTGGAGCCCAAATCCACCTATCGGATCTGTTTAGTGCCACTGGATGCTTTTAACTACCGAGCTGTGGAAGACACCATTTGCTTGGAGGCGACCACCCACGCCTCCTATTTGAACAATGGCAGCAACACGGCTTCCAGCCACGAGCAGACAACTTCCCACAGCATGGGCTCCCCCTTTCTGCTGGCAGGCCTGATCGGGGGCGCGGTGATCTTTGTGCTCGTGGTCTTGCTCAGCATCTTTTGCTGGCACATGCACAAAAAGGGGCGCTACACCTCCCAGAAGTGGAAATACAACCGGGGCCGGCGGAAAGACGACTACTGTGAGGCAGGCACCAAGAAGGACAACTCCATCCTAGAGATGACCGAAACCAGTTTTCAGATCGTCTCCTTAAATAACGATCAGCTCCTTAAAGGAGATTTCAGACTGCAGCCCATTTACACCCCAAACGGGGGCATTAATTACACAGACTGCCATATCCCCAACAACATGCGCTACTGCAACAGCAGCGTGCCCGACCTGGAGCACTGCCACACGTGACAGCAGCCAGAGGCTCGGCGTCGGCCCAGGCAGACAGAACACCTCTGAAGGACACACACGTGTGTGCACAGAAAGACACGCGAATTACATTTGATAAATGTTACACAGATGCATTTGTGCATTTGCATACTCTGTAATTTATACGGTGTACTATATAATGGGATTTAAAAAAAAGTGCTATCTTTTCTATTTCAAGTTAATTACACAGTTTTTGTAACTCTTTGCTTTTTAAATCTTAAAAAAACAAAAAACAACTAGTTGCTGAAGTACTGTACAGGGTGGTACAATGAGAACCCAGCGCCAAGGCAAAAGAACGAGTGATTCTTCCTTCTGATGCGCATTAACCACTTGGCTGTCGAAGCTGACAGAGTACATTCCTTCCCCAGAGCCAGTGGTCAGATGAAAGGGCCGTTTGGCATGGACTCACCAGGGTACGAGAAGTAATATGCCTAAAGGCAGAGATGGCCCAGATCATGCCAGGCTATTCCTTTTGTGTCCTGGTCCAGAAGAGAAGTAGTAAATTCCCCAGTAGAAGTGAGGTGGTGGTTCCCCTGGTTAGACCCAGTGCAGAGGACAAAGCGAGCATCGAGCGGAAGCCAGGTCCGTGACAGAAGGTGACCCAACCTGGCAGAATCAAGAGAATGAGAGCAGATTTAACAAGACCTTAAAGTCCGGGTGATGGCTTTCTGCCTGGGAACTTAAAATAAAAAAAATCACTCCTATTGCTTCCCTGGCCCTCTCTGATAACAGAGATAGTGACCCGAGTCTGACTTTGATTGTCTTCAGGGACAGGCAGAATGTTCCAGCAAGAAAATTCCCTTTTAAAGTGTTATTATTCAAATCATATGTCAGGTTGAATCAAATTCAACAGAGATATATTCTAGAATACTTTTTTTAGAAGAGCCTAATAAAATAATGGGAAGAATTATATTGAATGGAATTATTTTTGATAATGAGAATTATTTGAGTAGATTCACCAAGGCTATGTCAACATGATATTTAGACTTAACAAGTGATCAGTGTTTGGAATTTACTAAAACAACTTGTTATTTAAAAATTATTGGCATCATTTAGACAAGAACAACTAAATGGTTCTATTAGACAACATCAGCAGATTTCTATTGGTGTCATGTTGAAATAGCTTGAATTAATACACCCCACTCCCACCCCTCACAGGCAAATTGTTGTCTTCCAATCACCCCGAACTTCTTTTTATATATATATATATATTATGATTAGTTGTTTATGCTACATTTGTTCCCGCCCCTCTCTTCTCAGTATTTCAAAGAAAATTAAGAATGCCAGTGCCAGTATGGGTTACACAAAATATCCATATACACTTATATATTTTAAAATGCCTACTAATTTTCACTGCTAATGCTTTATAAGGACACATCTGAGCTGGCTGAAATGATGATGTGGTGTTTTTATTGTTTTTTTTTCGGGGGTGGGGGGCGTTGTCTGTTTGATTTTTAAAGCAATACTTGATTTTCCACCTTGGACTGACTTTGATCCAGTGCCATGCTTGAGATTTCATGTATTCCTTTTCAACCTGAGATGTTCCTCTTCTTCAGAATTTGTGGAGGGCTAATCAGTCTGCTATTAGCAAGACAACAAGAGAACAAAGCAGGAGCTGGAGGTGGGGGGAGGCAGGTGCCCCTCCTGTTGGCAGAGCAGGGCCTGGAGCAGAAATTCCAGGAAGAGAGGCAGGTTCAATTTCAGCTTAATTCTAGATGTTTCTGAAGCAATGTCCATGTTCAGCAAGCATGTATAATTTACTCAGTTTCCTCCTTTAGGCGTAGAAGGGCTATAGATCACATATGTTATCTAAAAGATGCATCCTTGCACAGAAGAAGTTTTCTTTCATCAAATTTAAGCATTTCGTCTGTGGGTATGATCTTTTCCTAGGGCCGTTATTGGAGGGATCCATGAAGGAACGATCACATGCTTCTTGTTTTCTTTCTGTTTATAATTATCTTTTGAACGAAATAAAACTGTGATGTGTCTTCTTTGTAAAAGCTTAGGTATAAAATGCTATGCAAGTTTTTCTTTATAGTAAGAGCTTTATTTTCTTTAATAATGTCATGCTCCTCCCCCAACTCAATATGGTTACCTCTCTGATCCCCCAAAAGAAGTTGAAAATATAGTGAAGCTATAATGTTGCCAACACAAGAATTGAAAGTGTGCAGTTAATGAGGCTGAAATTAGTCATGAACTCATGTGAAGTAGTTCAAAAGGGACTAGCTTCCATATCCATGGCCTAGGGAGTCTGACTCTTGCCTGTGTAGAGTCACAGACGTAGGGATGACACAGACTGGCGTGGTGATCAGTGCAGCAGGATGTAATCTAAAGTTCAGAACAGTGACACAGGCTTTTGTGTACCTGGCTTGATAATCTTTTTCACAGTACGCTTACCCTTGTTGTGGCACTGAAACTGTGTTTAAATGATGGTACTTTGACTTTGGAGGATTTATTGGCACAGGGGTGGGGGTGGGGATCTTTTTCTGTTACCAATACAATAATCATTCTACTTTATTTGCATTTATGTAGTTACCCCGAAGCAGGAATTTGGGCTGCTAAAATCTTTTACTTCGGGCCTAAAAGAGTATGGTTGGCGCCTCTCCTTTAGTGACTTTTTGTGGGGGCCACAGAATGAGTGGAGAATGGTTAGCGTGGTCTGCAAGGGTTCAGTCATTCAGAGGCATGCCCGAACCAATCCACTCTAGTAACAAACAGGCTTTATGTTGATCATGTATTCACAGCACGACAAAAGTCTGCTCAAATTAACACGTTTCCCATTTTTAACAGCAGACCTAGCTAGAAAGCACAGTGTCTTCTGTGTCTTATGAAAATGGCTGAACAACTCTCGGTGGTGAATTATGCTCTGATTGGCATCTTTGCTGAGGCAATGGATTTTGCTGACATGCTGCATTTGGGTCTCTCTTGCTGTCATTTCTCAGCACCCCGAGATGGTCAATCGAGAGACGGGTTGAAGGTGCAAGCTGGAGCCATGAGATGAAGCCATGCACATTGCCTTTTAATGAGCTTCATGCTGCCAGACCAAGTGATGTGATTTCAGACCATCTGTGTTTGCACTCAGAGCTAGGTCATTCACTGCACAGAGGAAATTCTAAAAGGAAATTCACTTATGATCATTGCCCCTCCATTCATACTCAAGAGTGGCTGTTAATACCCTCTCTTTGGGGAGATGTTTAGTCATGGGGAGTCCATGGGCTTCCTTCAGATAGTGTCTATGAGTTAATCGCCCATTGCATAGGACAATCATAGCCAGAGACAAACGGAGCGTTCCCTGCCAATTGACCTTATGTTTCTGATGATGACACTTTAATAGAACACAATCTCCCACCTGAGAAACAAGGCAACTTCCAATTCTCTGGATGTTTGTTGAAAATCACCCCTCCCCGCCCCCCCCCCCAAGTCCCCTATAGTATAAGATGACCTGTCTGGTAAAAAGTATTCATGAAGTAGTTCATATCACAGTTCCACTCCTAGTAGTGCAGATCATAATGGTCCTAATCTTACCAGAGGAGCCTGAACTTCCTTCCCCACTGGAGAAGACTTAAGCAAAGCTTCCATTTAAAACCCAAAGCCACAGTGTTGCCACCCAGGGGGGGGGGGGCAAAGGAGGGCAATTGCTGCACTTGCTCAACTCCAGCCAGAGTGTCGTTTTGGACAGTGAAGTGGAATTTCCATTACTTCATTTTCTCTAGCTTCTAGCAGAAGGTCATTAAGAGCTTATTTTAGCACTGGGGAATGGCCATTGACTCGCAACTGACCATCTCAGCTGCGTGAGAAAATGAAGCCACAGGGGGAGAAACCCACTCATAAACACACAGGCTCCGGCATCCCCACCGGCCTTGCCAGATGCTCCAACTTACCCACTTCCTGCATTTCGTCATCACAATGGAAAGGCAAGATTACAGGCAATGGGGGTAGTTGTCACGACTTTGAGGGAAAAATAGTACACATGTGATACCCTTGTTCTAAAAGATCAGATTCTTTGCCTATAGTTCTTTCCATCCCTCCCCACACACCCCTTTCCTTTTCCAGCAGTGCACCCACTAGAAGAGCACAAAGCAAAGCGGTTTTTAAATTAGCATACACACACACACACACACACACACACACACACACACACACGGACGTTTGTAGCGGTGTCCATGGATGTATTGTAACCATTGTGAGGCCAGGTGAAGGTGTCACCCCTGTATGTCCCTGTCGGGATCAGTGTATAGTCTCTGAAAGTGGAACTTGATGCTCTGTGATTGTTTGAACCATCTTGATTTGCTTCTGATTTGTGTTTGGCGAAGTCACTGACAGGGGCTGGAAGATTCGACTTCACAAGTCTCCGGAGACTTACCGTGTGGCACACTTTGTTAATTGCAGACTTCGCTCTACACTCTACAGTACCTTGTTGATATATTCAGTAAAAGCTTATTTTAAAAGAAAACCACAGTGTGTTTATCTGAGTAAGTTCATTGGGAGACAGCCAACACTCGTTTTCAGATACATGGTATTCTGAAAGAGAACCAAGATGCTTCGTAATATGGGCATGAAGAATAGCCTAGGATTTTCACTTTCTTCACTAAGAAGACAACTCTTTTCCTAAGTTTGTGACACTCCCAACCCCCTTTTTAATGGGGGGAGGGAGGGTAATGGAATTTATGTACAGCCCTCAAGTTTTTTTTCCATTTTCCAAATAAACTGTGTGCTCTTCTGAATAACTTTCCAATATAACATACAAACACAGTGCACATATCTCTTTTTGTACTTATACAATTTATGTGTAGGATATAGAAAATACCAATATATTAATTACTCTATCAGAATAGTCTCTTCCCATTTAATAATATGCACCATTGGTTTTAAGTATCAATTTTCTTGCAGAATTCTTCTGGTCCTTTTCTACTTCAGACTTTAAAATAGCCAATTCACTTAGACTATCAATGGCACCAATATCTACCCATGAACGTGTATCTCTTCATAAGCTTAAGTTTGACATTGGAGTCGTTGCACATGATTTTCAAGGCTCCTTTTTCCCTAACCATTCCTGATAGTTTCACTAGTAATAATATATTTGACAGAGATTGATTCCAGAATAAAACCATGGCATTTCAATTACCAAGTATTAATTACCCTTGGAATCTTTTTTAAAAAAAATTAACCATGAAAGTAGTGGGAACAAGTGATTCATAATACATCTGGGGATTTTATATTAAATAATGGCCATCCTTGTCTTGGCTAATGTTGCCAAGATTTACAAATGCTACTCAACAGATACCAGACCCTATGTCAAAGAATATCCTGCTTGCAGAAGAACTTATGAAGCTGTTACTGTCATGGTCCAAGCACTGGGCTAAATTCATCAGTCACACAGAAAAACAAAATACAGGCTTACCGATTCAACTGTGTCTTCTATTCCACCAAAGCCTAGGAAATGTATGTTGAACCACTGCATTTACTCATCTCCTTCAAGGCTGCCATGTTAGGTTCTGTTGGGAAATCCAACAACAACAACAATTGACAGCGCCTCTGGAGCACATGGGTCATGTGATAAACTTGTTCTAATACATCCCTGCATCGCAGAACCCCTGCAATAACTTCATAGTCTTCAAACTAAACGAAATAGGGTATAGCTAGGGCATCGAATGTATTGGTAAGGATGAGGATGCATTTATTTGCCTTCTATATTGCATGATCTTGACTTTGGATACATGACCTATAAAGTGATAGTGCAACGATAAAGTGACTCAAGTTTATTACAATTTCAAAAGTGTACCAACCAAGCAAAAGATTAGCGATTGAATTTGGTAAATAATGCGGCATTCCTTAAATGTTTGTTGGGCACTAGAATGGCAATCAGTCTAACATAATGAAAGTGACACCTGTCACATTTATTAAGCATTTTATATGTAAGCCTCTATTCAAAATGCTGTGACTCACCTGATCTCATTTGTCTAAAATGCCCTTGTGTGGATGCATTCTCTCATTTTCTCATATTCTAAGACCCATCCTCAAGAGAAATGAAGGAGCTGGTCCTTGATTTAAAAACGTGTATATGTCAAAGTCAGAATTTAACCGCAAGCACAACTCCATGGATTTTTAAAAAAATTGTTTTCCTGCCTCTTAATAAATTCACTCACATTAAGACGAACTAGTGTTCAAGATTTGTCATGCTTACAGATTTTTGATATGGAGGGTATGACCTTTCACATCGATGCATATTTTAATTGGTTTTTAAAAGAATGATAAACGTTTTATTTTAAATGTCAATAATACATACTTAGGTTCTTTTGGTTAGTCTATATCTTTTCATCCTCTCTTCCAGTAAATTTTTGACACCCCCACATCTATGTCTTTAGAGATTCTGTTTTGTGCTTATGGGAAGACTGAGCATTAATCTGATTTTAGATAGAATGAGGATCTGTCTACACCACATTGTGATAAGAGAGAGCTATGAAAAGGAATGGAGGCTGTTTACCTTTAGTGATGCCTCAGGTTTCTGACCGGAGAGGTTGCTCTGTGATGGAGATTCCCACGGAAGCGTTCCACGTGTCATCTATGAGGCCATTAGAAACTGGCTTCTGAAGTCACCTGTTTTTTTGCCAACACTAGCAGAATAGTTCACTTTAGAGGACAGCCACTCCAAAAACCTCGCTGCCATCCGGAGAATCCGACGCAGGGTTGTCTGGGTGTTTTGCATTCATTATGCTGCAATTTAAGGAGCAGATATTTCAGTGATAGACACCAAACCAGATGTCATCTTAGCAAACATACCCGGCGATCTCCCTACGTGTCAGTCTTTAGGGTATGAAATTAGATGGCTTTTTTCAGAACATCCTTAGGAGAATACTTAGTGACATAATAAAACTCATCTTGGGCCAATTGTTTTATCAAATGTCCAAGTGCTGGCTCTCAAAGTGTACTTTGGACCTTTGTTGTCTTGGTTTTGTTCCCATGTTGAAAATACTCACTGAAGCCTGGGAAGTTTGGATGCAGAACATCTTGTTCAGGAGAGTTAAGCTGTACCATCATTTCCAACCCCACATATCCCCAGGGAGCATCTGGTCTTCAACACTGGTCCCAGGCTATTCCAGCCTCTTGGCCACCTACTTTGAAGACCATCTTTCTGCATTTCAATAACTAGCCATTTATCCCTGCTACTTCCAGCACTTAGATGGAGAGCTTTTAATCATAGGCCTCAGGCTTTCTGTCTTTCTCATAGGGTTACTCTCCAAACTCTGCCATGGAGTGGACTGGGAAGAACTGCCCCTGTGGATTTCTAAGACCTCACAGGAGTAGAAAGCCTCATCTTTCTCCCTGGGAGTGGCTGATGGTTTCCAACTGCTCATCCTGTAGTTGGCAGCCTAACTCATAATCTCTAGCCAACAGCAAACGTTCGGTGATTGGTATTTCAAATCCACCTTGAGGAGATTTACTTAAAAAAATCCCTCAACAACACAACAACAAAATTCCCCGGATTTTCAAATCCCAGGGAGCACAGTTCTGCTCTGACAGGCCTCTCCTTGGTTAAGCTGTTCCCTCAAAAGCCTCCTCTCCATTCTACAGGCCCAAGAGAAAGCATGCCTGATGTTGACACTTTGTTCAAAAGATTACATTGCCACAGGGTGGAATTTAAATTTGTTGTATTAACTAGAGGTTCAGTTTCCATCCCCCCGCCCCCCCCACACACACAGCCCACACACTCTCACCCCTGCCATGATGCTCCCTCACATTCCTTAACTGCTGCCTTCTTGTGAATCATGTGCTCTAGATTAGATACACAAGTATATTTAAAATAAACAACAGCCTTTCAGTCTAGCTGCCAGAGATGCCAACCTTAAACTAAAAATAGTAAATAAAAGACAAGTGGAAACCCATATGCTGTCTAGTCAATTCCACCTCTTGGGGACCCTTTGTGCTGTAGTGGGTGCCCTGGATGTCTCAGAGCTGTGCCACCGACGATGCAGATAGCCATCTTCAGATGGACTAGAACCTCCAAACTTGGGATAATCGAATGCTTCCCTGTTTGCACCACACAGAGAATTTTGAATTATGTGTAATCAACTTTGTGCAAAAGCCACAAGACACTTTTTAGGAGAAGATGCTTTTTATACTTTACCGACAGGTTCACGTCTCTGAGACAATTTGAAGAATAGCTTACAAAGAGAGATCCTGAAGGTTTGCCTTGCAATAAAACATCACCACCATGAAATACCACCAAGCACTGGTCGACACTAAGTCAAACAGCTAGTCAAAATGAATTCCTCCCATATCAAACGCAGAAAGAGGGAGCCCTGGCAGTGTGGTGGAGTCCATGCTGGGCTGTCAGCGGCAAGGTCTGCCATTTGAACCCACACCACCAGCCCCACTGGAGAAAGAAGGATCTCTGCTCCTGTAAAACTTTACCACCTCTGACACCCCAAGGGCCTGTTCTACTCTGCCACACGGGGTCACTATGAGTCAGAATGGCTGGACAGCCTCGAGTTATAAAGCCATAGGAGATTTCAGCCCCATTTCCTACATCAGCAGTGTTCTGTGGAGCAGTGATTTTTCATTGAATCATATTTTATACCCAAGCCACAGGAGAGTGCCCTACATCAATTAAAAGGGTACCCTTGATGGCTACCATGAGATAACAGTCTACCCTGTCAATGGCCTTCCAGTAAATTAGGAGACGGTGTAGCTGGATGGTTATCGAGCACATAGACTTGAAATCAGGTTGAATTGTTTTGTCAGTTGCGATTCACCTGTCAATTGACTGGCAATAGCTTACAATATATGGACATCGGGTTCTTCTTCCTCAAACGTTCACAATTATGCTCAGCACACGTGGTGGTATCACAAATGAAAACAGCTCAAGCAGCTGACATAGTGGTGTGTGGCAATACGGAGTGAATAGAGAGATAGAGGTACAGACTAAGGGTCAACTTTATTGGATGAGAAGCAAGTATCAAACTTCTGAATATTAAGAACAGAATTACGTGTAACATCATCTATATAAAGGTCATCAGCATCCACAATTACAAATAAACATACGACCAGGACCAACATGGTTCCGACAGGGATTTTCCCACAATCCTTTTTATTTCCTGGAAAAGTTTGGGTCAGTGAGATGTACAGGGTCACCCTGAATCACATCAGGTCCTTTGGAGCTGTTGACTAGAAAAAGCATCGACTGCTTATTAGTATGGTGTATTTCCTTTCTCATCCTGTAGAGTATCCAGAAATGTAATTATTGCTGATCATTCGGGAAATGCTCAGCATCAAATGAACCTCGCACATCAGTTTAGAAGACACTGGCGGATTAAAACATTCGGACACTCAAGATAACATTCTTTTAATTCAATGTTTTCTTTGGAAAACGGTGGTTTTATTTCATTCCTGTCCACCACCAACCATGGAGTCGACACCCATTCTTGGGTGGCAGATTGTAGCCACCAAATGGGAGATCATTTGCGTGGCTCTGCAATACAGATGTGATAGCCTGCCAGCTGCTGCACTGAGACTTTTTTTCAATTAATGTCATTCTGAATTTTGTAATCTGGCAGTTATTAAGAGGCACGCATCCTACTCAAATGGGAAGAGCTGTTGTTCTGGATGCGTCCTGCCTGTTGAAGTTAACATAATCGGACAGCGGCTCTCTCCTTGGGGTCTCTGGTGTCATTCTGTTCCTTTTGTCTTCACCTGCTCAATCCAAGCAGAAGTTCAGCTGCTTGGATGCTGAAAAAGGGAAAAAGATGGGCCTTTTCCTCTATTGCTTGGCTGTGTGGATTAATTGGCATCAGGGCAGTTCTTTGGCAGATATGAATCAATACCAGTATGCTTTGGGTCTATAGCCAATTTCTGTTCTGTTTTGACCAGTGTGTGTTTTGATAGGCTATCCCCCAGCTCTGTCTCTTGTTAAATATTTTACATAGCAGTTCTCATTAGTGGAAATACGGTTCTGAATCCAGGTTCTGAAATAAAGGAGACCCAGGAAGTGAGTTGCATTAGAATAGAGGCCAGTCACACATGGCAGAGTAAACTGCATTATCTAGAGGACTATAGCCCACTGGGTGAAAAGCTGAATTATTGAAACATGATGAGCCCCTCTAATTATGAATTCAAAGAACTCTTAGGCTGATTCATATCTCTGTTCCAACTCTTACTTGTCTTGGGCTTTGGGTACTTTCTTACTTTTGTTTCTTATCTCTAAGTGCAAACCACTCTGCCTCGCACAATGCCTGGCACCTCACAAGGGCTCAATAAATGCCAGCCGCTTGCTGAAACCATGTGGCGCTGATGGCTACAAGCTGGGACTGGACAGCTCCTGTTAATTAATTGGGCTAATTTGTGTCTTTTATTTTTATAACCTTAAGGACATGGGTATGGGAATAGATACAAGAAGACTTTTAAGCACTGAGTTTCATTAACTTTATTACAAAAACAACCAGGGTTCCATTAGACAGGTTGCTGTTGATGAACACCCAGATCTGACTCACAGGGGCCATATATATATCAAGATGAACGATTGCTCAGTCCTGCACCACCATTCACAGCCTTGCTGGGTCAGAGCCAGCTGCTTCAGCTACTGTGCTAATCCATTTGGTCAAGGGGGTTCTTGTGTTCACCAACCCTTCACTTGTCCAGCAGCAACTGCTTTAAAACCTCTCTGTGAAACCTCTGCTGTGTTCCTTTTAAGCTCTTAGATATAAGAACAGTCAACTCAGTAGGTTTAAAAAGCAATATGTATAATGGTCAAAAGCAGGAATTATGGATTCATCAAACATTTGTGCCTGGGGCATCCTGTTTTATAGCCTTATCCTTTTGTTTCCACAAAGGTAAACTGGTTCCTAATACTTGTGAGGATTCAATGAGGTAATTCATGTCAAATATTCAGTACAATGAGTGGAATTCATTCAAATCAATATGATTAAATAATCATAATGGAGAGAGAAGCACATGAAAATAAAATAAAATCTCATTAATTTAATTACATTTTTCTTCAAATGGAAAAATTTGAGCTATCTTACTAAATAGACATATTTGTAAAATACTTCAAAAAATACTTGATCAAAAATAGATTTCCATACAAGAAATCTTACATGAAACAAGATTATCTTAAATATATTGAGTGCCTTCTCTATCTTTATCTCTTATGTAATAGCTATT